CTACCACCTCCCTTACACCTTAAACGAAAGAGAATAAATTCACTTCATAAATAAATGATCTACTGGTGGACTCGAAAACCTAATTACAAACGAAGAATAAAATAGACTAGCATCAACGCACTAGCATGCCGAGTTTGTGAGAGAAAATGGAAATTACCGCTATTATCGAGGGTGCAACGAGATAGTATACTACTTTTGTAGATGTGGGCTTGTAAATTTAGAAATTGGCTCAACCCAAGATTATGGTTCTGCTCTACATTTCTCTTGTGAAGAAGATCGTGCGTCAACTTTGACCCCTATGAATTCAGGAAAACCGAATTCCCTATCTTTCGGCATTCTTCAAAATGGAAACATGTGCCTCATTTGTTTCATAAGACGTCGCATCAACTGGTAAGGAAGTGATTGGTGAATTTTCCCACCCAAGCCGTCATGAAGAGTGCCAAAGATACGGAGATTTATGGGCGAAAATGAAATGTACTGCTATTATCGAGGATGAATACACTTTAAATATAAATTATCTAGTGGTAGTTTGAAAAATCTACTTATAAACGATTAATAAGTAGTATAGTCGATAACCATTTTCGGAATCAGCACCGGGTCGAAGTTGACGCACGATATCCGTCAGTGGAGAAAAGTAGAACCAAGAAAAAAGTGAGAAAATAAGAATAACTCGCTGTGCATGGTTGGGAAAAATAAAAAGTCAGCAATCCTGCATCAATACTATTTTTAATAAAAGTAGTATAATATCGCATAGCACTCTGGACAATAGCAGTCATTTCCATTTTTGCAGCATCCACCTCTGGAAAGGGTCAACTCAGTCTGAATCATGAACACTAATACACGATTCTGCTAATTCTGACACTAATTCCTCAATTCCGAATGAGTCACGCAGCTGGTTGACTAAGGAAAAATGATTAAATTGACCACTTTATGTATTCATAATGAAAATGTTCATCGGAGTTGCCTGACGACGGACTTTTTTTGTACAATCAAGCAGTCCTTACTCTGCTTTAATCGTTCTTTGGTTTCCGATAAGACGATTTCACGAGTTCTTTGCAGCCATCTTATTCTTCGAAATGGAAAGTCATGTCACAATATGTCACCGCGTAATTATTGGAAGCCCACTTTTTCTTGGTATGAAGACTTTCATTTCGTATGGAAGTACATGATGAAGAGATTCGTAAGCCAATCTCACCAAAAGACGTCGGCCCTCTTGCGTGACATGACTTTCCATTTCGAAGAAAACGATGGCTGGAAGGAATTCATGAAATCGTCTCATCGGAAACCGAAGGAGGATTGCAGCAGAGTGAAGACTGCTGGATTGTACAAAAAAGTCCGGTATCAGGCGATTCCGATGCACCTGGGCCAAGCTTTCGTCTGTACCGTCGTGACAGACATAATCAACATTTCCGATGAGACCATTTCACAAATTCCTCCCAAGCAACTTTTCCTTTTAACCGGAAAGTCATGTCACACAAATGTTTCCTTTTCATGTGTTCCTAATGATTTGACGACCATCAAGAGCTCTTGACAAACGGCTGTGGTCGGTCTAATTTGCACAAGAGGATAATAGGACCAATGGCTGAAGTTTTGCACAATGAAATGAATTTCATTTTACCTTCCCTCTCAAAAGGTATTCCCATCCAGACCGATTTGGACTCCACCTTCGAGTAGGACATGTGAATTTGTTGAAAGCACCGACAACTACCCGTTTGCATCAATGTCAATCCCATCATAAAAATGTGATATGTAAAATTCACTTATTCCCTCCTGCCGAACTGCTGGCGCTGGAGGATAACATGTCGAAAGTATTTGCTGCAACACGACCCCTACGTGAGTTCGAGTCCCGTTGGGGGTGCCGATGAGACCAGCTCAGGCGAGGTCAAAATTGTAGTTGAACTAGTCGGGAAAAGTGAGCAAAATGTAATGGAATCATGAGCCTTTCTTACTTCGTTGTGGAGAAATTCACACATCGGCCCATCAACACCTTATACGAACCAGCGATATATGGTTTTAGGTCAGAATATAAAATATACTGATTGTGAATAGTTAAAAATTGCAACGCTCTTGTCAATATCTCTCTTCTGTTTAGTAGATCCACGTAGAGAAATGGAGCTATTTAGCCTCAAAAGTGCGGATTGCAGCCTCAGTTCACTTATTATTTGTGCATATTCAGTTCATAGCATTTTTGAAAAGTCCATCCTTTATTTGAGGTTATGAAAACCAAGACGTTGTGGCCTCTGGCATGGTTGCAGTGAACGTGCTTCTGTGGCCTGGAGAAATAGCAACTGGAACCGAGTGAAATCGGTCAACCAGAAGGATAAGGAACGGATCTATGAGACTATGAAAGGATCCGGATTAGAGTGGGTTCGGGGTAGATAGTAAGTGCGATGGGGCCACACTCGATTTTCCACAAAAGTGAACACATTTTGACGAGTGGAATGTAAACAAGTGATAACTTGTGATGTGGCGGCAGTGGGATAAAAGGGTAAAGAGTAGATAGATGGACAATGACAGAAAGAGGAGTTATTGTGTAACCGTTTTCGGCAGAACGGTTGTCGAGGGATTGGCTACACTTGACCCTTTGACGAGTTCGTAGGTTGGGGCGGAGAATGGAAAAACTGACTGATGGTGCCGTCGAAACGTCTGAGAATGTACCAAGTCGACTGTCTGATGCTGGGAATCATGACAACTACTTTGGCAGACGACTTCGGACTAGATGAATTCTACTAAGTCGCCCTGACAACAAGACCAAGTTGCGAAAACGAGGTCAAAACATTTCAACAGTCCATCTTTTAGTTCTGCATCATCTTATGCGATCCAGGCTGAAGGTAGATTTTGGAAAAGAGCTACACTCATACTCTCGAAAGTCTACTCATTATGAACACATGAAAGTGGGAACTTTTTTCTTAAAGCAAATCCACGTCTGGAGAGGGGGCTTTTTGGCCACCATCGGCTCACTTTTTATTAGAATATATTTTTATAACTTCAATTAAATGAAAATTTAATAAGAGCTCTGAGCTGTTTTTACCCAATTTCACTTAAGCTGCTCTCTGACCCTGGGGCAATCGTGGTAATGTGGCTGAGTGGTTAACTTTTCGAGCGTATACGATTCACTGTCACGGTTCGACTCGCGCTAGGGTTGTTGATGAGACATAGTCGAGGAAGAGACTCCAGTCTACTTCAGCCTGCGTGAAACCAACTTTTGGGAAAGTTAGTCTTTGTGAAATTTAATCATTTTGGGAAAAATCAACTTCCAGTCCTTCATCACCTTGAATGAAATAGGACGAATACAACTCGTATTATTATTGGCAATTAATGTAAAGTGAATTGACTGGAAATTTGAAGCCTAGTGAAATTAATGTGAGAATCTTGTGACTGCTATTTGTGATTATTATCTATTGTTAATCTTATTATGACACATGAAAATGGTAACCTTTTTCTCCAAAAAACCAATTCCCTTTTACAAATCCACGTTTGGAAATGGAATGAGACTGGGCATGACCGAATTGATATGAACATGTATATTTGAGTTGTCAAGACAACATGGGGAAGATTGGGAGCGGGAAGAAAAACACGTGGTTTTTGGAGGCTTGCTCATGACCTGAACCTTATCCAATTAATCGCGAGCATTGTGTTGAATTTGATTGCAACAAAGTTGTCTTCTTCGACGAGGGAAGCGGCCAAACGACATGATGAAGCCCTTCCAAATGTGGCCGCCTCGGAGACCCTGTCTTTCCCGGCACCAAATGCTCTTTCGAATGTCGCCAAGACAGGCTCAGACGCCGGTTTGTGGGGCCACATTCCGACTGCTTGACAGTCGGTTTCTGTTACCAGGTCACATTTGCTCCGCATGTAGAGGTGGTTTTGCGGCCGATTTGATGTTCCGTGAACAATCCGCTAAATTGCCCCTCTTGACGAGAGGTTGCATCATCTGCTCATTCGAAAGTCGCCTTCAAGCCGGGGTCCACTTAATAAATGATATGATGATGATGATGATGATGATGATTATTATTATTATTATTATGTGGATGATGAAGTTGATGGTGAAGATGATGATTATGATGATGCTGTTGGGTGGCTGTTGAACCATGTTTAGGCGCATGTAATGTGCACATTTGCCGTTGCACACACACACACACACACATACAGCAAATGAGGCAAATGTGTCTTTGGTCAGTTGGTGTTTAAACAAATCTTGCATGATCGGCTTGAGCAAATACTCTATTTATGATCTGCAACGGCAGCCGAATCGCTACCGGAGAAGCCTACATCCTTGTTCAACACATGACAGGTGAGATAATGAGTCTTTTCCAGAACAAACGCCTGACATACAAA